AAACTAAAATAAAATAAAATAAATAAATATATATATCAGCACTGGTATCTAGGGCCATGCTCTGAGCTCCCAGACTGCAATGGAACTTGCATAAAAGAGTGGAGGATCAATGCCATGAAGCCCAGAAAAATAGTCGATTTACAAAAGATGGAACAAATCCTAAGAGCTTGCTTACAAAGCATCTTAAGACAAATGAATTTGGAGTTAAAGGGAATGCAGCTTGTGGGAAAACCAAAAAGAAATAAAGCCCTTGCAGAGTGAGATGCAGCTATAGAAGCATTAGCCTGGTTAATTCACACATCTGACAAGTAAAAGATAATAGCCTAGCATCACTGGGGAATGATGTGCCTCCCTTCAACTCTCTGGTACTCCAAGCTTTGTGTAAGTTTACTACTTTCTCTATATTTCTCCTTCAAGCACTTTTGTCCTTCCCACTCCCACAACACCTTCAAAGTGAGAGAGAATAAAAATTATACTGCTTAAGAGTTACAGTCAATAGGACAATATCTGTGAAATATTTTTCTTAGTCATTATTGTAGATTTCACTCCTATAAAGCAACATAGGCAAAATTTGTTAAGAAAGTAAAGATAGCAGAAAGGACTTGTCCAGTTAATGAAGCTAGAACCTGTACAGAAACAAAGCAATAAAACAAGTAAGAAGTAAAATGTGTAAGGCATCTTAAAAGAATCTCAGAAATTTCGCTGATCATATGCGATGATAAAATAGATTAGATTCACATTCAAGCTAAGCTGCAGTCTCGTCTAACTGATGGTGGTAAAATAATTTTATGTTAAGTTAGGAGTATCAACTCAGGTACTGATCATTAACCCTATTCATATATAAAATTTCATATTCTGAATTCCAAAAATTGGTCTTAGAAAATAAATTTCAGGCATTTATCCAATCAAATCTACATACATAAAGTGTCGAATACAATCATTTAGGTTAGAACCCGCTCAATCATTTACACCAGTTAAGGAAGAAAAGTACCTTTTGTATAACTTCTTGGAACCACAGGGACAGGGTGCATTTCTACTTATTTTTCCACTCTTGGCCAAGTTTGATCGTGCAACATCCATGGGGTTTGATCCCATCAACTTATGAACCTACAGCCAATGATTCCTTCACAAGTCAATATTTCATTTGAATGCAGTAACATCAAACTACAATGCCCAAGCCATATCACATGATCATTTTATTTTCTTTATCCTCCTAACCATGCATTATGGCAGGGGAAAAGTAGAATATGCAGATAAAAACACGTGTATTCATGTCAGCTAACCAGCAAAACATTCACCCAACACAACAAGCATGTAGTTCATCGCTTGTAGAAAATCACTATTAACAGCATGTGAAATACGAAAAATGTGGGCAATATGATAAATACCTCAGCCAAGCTCTTTGGCATTGGTTTGCCTTCCTCCTTTAACTTTTCAATTTTTCTCTGAGCTTCTTTTGCCCAGGTAAACTTTGCTAAAGTATTTTCAACATCTGCTATTGTGCAATAACATTGGTTCGCTGCCTCTTGCTTTTGACTAGTTTGAATATTCTACAGTGAAAAATCAAAAGAAAAGTGGTCACTTACCAAAATATATAATCGTGAATAAAAAAATTACAACATTTTGTCAATAGCATTCATACACTGAATTTCAACCCATGAGCATCACTTAGTGCACATAAGTGCACGCGGATTTATCAACAAAAATGCATAAATGTAAACAGGAAGACAAAAAATTACAGGTCAAAGACATTCTGCTCAAGTTGTCACATTTAAAACCAGCTGGAACACATGGGGTAATAACTAATAAGTTCAGGGCGGAGCCAGGAATGTGTCGTACGGGGAGCAAAAATTTTTTAAATTTTTTAAGATTAGAAGATGAAGATCGTTCAACTTTAGGGGATGAAATTAGATTTGGAGTGGATACCATAGGAATTGGAGTACCCTGATGTTTGTTACTCTTTGAAAAGAAAGATAACAAAGTTCTTCCTTTCTAGGAAGATGGTCGATCTTCCTCTATATTAAACATAAGAGCATAAATATCAAAAAAACTTCAATATCTTATAAATTCCTATATAAATTGCTATTGGCTAAATTTCCAAACTAACATTTTCTAAAAAAAATGCCTAAATGGCTAAATCCTAAAGCACAACTGCACAACCATTACACATGAATACTGTCGGAGTTGGGTTCTAGATTACATCATTAGTAGATATAGAACTAGAAGCAGATGTGCTATCAATTTCCAATGCAGATTAATTGAGACACTTCCAAATTCAATTCAAAAATGTGCTATCAATTTCCAACGAAGTCACGAAGTGGTGAGACTGTGAGAGAGAGTGGAGAGGGTTCGCGTTTTGGGTAAATGGGTGGGAATTGGGTTTAATTTTAGGTGGGTTGGGCTTTCAATTTTTCAAATGGGCTACGGCTTTAACCAAATTTTTTTTTTCAAAGGCTGGGCTTGGGCAAGGGTGGGTTGGCTAGGACAATTGAGCAACCAATTTTTTTTTTTTTTTAGAGGCTGGGCTTGGGCAAGGGTGGGCTATCTCCGCCCATGAATAAGTTAAAACTACTTCATTAACCTTTTGAAGTAACGTTTTTTGATGCTTGTAGCAGCAAAAGAAGAGTTGGAGTTGAGAGAACTTAAATAAGGGAAGAAAAGGATAATGAAAAAAATAAAAATATATTAGACAATTGGATGGAAAGAGACGGAAGAAGAGGAAAAACTGCGTAATGGGCCAAAAGAGGTTATTACAAGGGGTATGCTTTGTGGGCCATTTTAATTTAGTCAAAAGTAAAAAGTGGAAATTACATAATTCCAGGTGTTTGAAGATTAGAATTCAAAAATCAGGGATCAAGTTTCATTATTCAAAAATCAGGTATGAATATAATAATTAAATATCTACCCCCAATTCAATTCCAAACCCTAACCATTTCATTTTATTCTCACCCTCACTCACTCACTCTCCATCTATCTTCTCCCTCTATTCCTTTTCCTCTTCTACGCCGCCGTCGGAACACGCCGTCGTCGTCTTGTCATGTGATTATCTTGCTTCATTGGTATCAACACACCACCACAGAGCGTGCACCCACAATGCAGCAACATATCACCATGACAAAGGAGAAACCTAAGCTACTTTCCACGACATATATAAAAGTTATGGTGATAAAGGACCACCCTCACCAACTTTTCCCTCTTCTTCCCAATGACATATTCCCTAATCACCACTAAATCCCAAAACTTTTCTAAGACCAACCCACCGTTAACACATTCATTACCATACTTGAAACTTAATCCCTTCAAGTCCCAACCTTCAACATGAACTCAGCCAAACACTAAGTTCCAACGAGATGAAATTAGAGCTTACCAAGATCTACAACACTTGTGGTTGCCATTTTAACACTCAAAAACTCCCAGACTTCTGGCACAACCCCTTGGAATTTGACTTAGCCCCTATTTGATCCACATTATTTTTCTCATTCTCATTCTTCTACTAATTTTTAACCACACATTCTTCAATAAAATAATATTTTTCATCACATCAATAACTTTTCATATATTCCCAATCACATCAACAGTAAAAATGCATTCTTACTCCTAAAATGTGCACTAAACAGGGGCTTAATCTTCTTCCTGCAACCGTCTAGCCACAAATAGGACAAGCCAACTTGACTTCAGCCACAAACACATGCTGCATGTATCAACCACATTGCCTTGGCAGCATCCACATGTAATGCAATCAGATATCACCATGCCTAAGGCAACTTTACTTAGCGCGCTTACTGCAGCATACGATACTATCACTAGTCTTATAAGTTATAAGGGACAAATCAATTCTAAAATGTAGATAGATAATCTTTTTACGTATTTCCTGTATTGTATACATTAACGACTTTCATATGTTACGTTGTTGTATAAACATCCTGTACATCAGCTGCTAAACGCCAGTTTCCAATGTATTAGAATCCCACATTGGCTGGTGATATTAACATGATCTACTTAATAAGGTGAGGACAATCCCCCCCTAACAAGCCGGTTTTGTTAGGTTGAGTTAGACCCAATATCCTTTCTAATATGGTATCAGAGCGGCCCATTTTTACAATGTTGGGTGCACCCAATATCGATTTGTTCACAGTTGTTTGGTATGGTCCACGCTGTGCGTGAGGGGGCGTATTAGAATCACACATTGCTTGGAAAAATATAAATGATCCACACCACGCTGTGCGTGAGGGGGCATATTAGAATCCCACATTGGTTGGTGATATTAACATGATCCACTTAATAAGGTGAGGGCAATCCTCCCCTAACAAGCTGGTTTTGTTAGGTTCAGTTAGGCCCAATATACTTTCTAATACAATGCACCACAATCAGTGGCATGGAAGTAGGCTTGGAGATAGAGATAGGATAACTACCATAATAATATGAACTGGTATTGTGGAAATTCTAATAACACAATTGCATATCAGGAAATCCATGCCCAAAATTATGGGTGAGGACCGTGAGGTAATGCAGCACTATGGAGTTCATTTTAGAGCAATTGACTTGAGCAAACATCGGCTGATTGAAGAAATATTTCATAGAAAACATATTCAATTATATGGGGGCATTTCATTTAAATTTACGGCAAGGGCTATGGAAACAACTTACATAAACATAGACATAGAACACACATGCATACATGGTTATCAGGCTATACAACTTACACTCTTCTTAATGCAAATAACAAGAGAAATGAAAGAATTGCAGGAACCAACCTCTCCAGTAGGATCGAATCCATATATAAACACCAATACAATATATAGAGATATATACATATAATGTGTATGTGCAAGAATAAGAAGTGAAAGCAGGTAAGACATACGGAGCAATGTGAATGACTCTGCGGTGGCGGTGTCAGAAGCAGTCATTTTACCGGTGAAGACGCCTTTGACCTTGTCCATCCATGAGGAGTTGAGATGTGATGTGGAGGATATCCAACGTTGTCTTGATGGAATGTAGTGACTGAGTTCGGAACCTCTAACGAAGAACACAACCCGCCGCGAAAGCAGCATTGTATAGAATATAGAGATACATATATTACTTTACGATTTCCCTGCAAGGTTTAAGGTATTACTTATTAGTCTTTTTATCTATCTGGGTTCAATTAGGTGCTAAGGCTTTGAGCAACCCAGGCGGCGGAATGAATCAGATTCCAAATTGTAGATGAGGAATTTACAAAAATGGCCAATTTCATAAACGGTTTAATTTTGATAACTCTAAAAATGGCCAAATTTGATACCAAATTGTCTATTATACCCCTGTGAAAAATGAAGCAATTTTTTTAAAAAAAAAATTTGTCACGAATTTCGAGAAATCTACATTAATGCTAACTAATACCCAATAGATTCATTTGCTTTTATTATCTGTTGGGTATTGACCCATAGTTTTGGGAAAAAATGAACAAGATGAAGTAGAAAAGTCATTAATACTAAAAAATAATTATATGCTTCCAATTCATAAGAAAATCCAAAAATTTAATCTCATCCAAATTTGCAATTGATTAGGCTTTTCACAATTTTCGATAGAATGTAATTTTTTTTCCTCTTTTGCCCTACTCGAATGGGGATCACTACTCCCATAAGATAGCTATGATTGAAATCTTTTTTTATTGATAATTTGTGTTTAATAGTTGTTATTTTTGACATTTCATAACGTTCTCGATATTTTAAAAGCCGTTATCGATATTTGGACCCTGTTTATCTTTACATTTGACACTTCATTTGTTTAGGACGAGATTTCGTTTTCAACATGAGAGTTCTCTACATTTTATAATGTTCTTGATATTTTAAATATACTCCTCGACATTTCATAAATGCTTTATTTACTCACTTATAGAAAGAAGTGAACATTTAATGTATAATTGACATAATACTTTTTAAAATAAGCAGTATAAANAGGTAAGACATACGGAGCAATGTGAATGACTCTGCGGTGGCGGTGTCAGAAGCAGTCATTTTACCGGTGAAGACGCCTTTGACCTTGTCCATCCATGAGGAGTTGAGATGTGATGTGGAGGATATCCAACGTTGTCTTGATGGAATGTAGTGACTGAGTTCGGAACCTCTAACGAAGAACACAACCCGCCGCGAAAGCAGCATTGTATAGAATATAGAGATACATATATTACTTTACGATTTCCCTGCAAGGTTTAAGGTATTACTTATTAGTCTTTTTATCTATCTGGGTTCAATTAGGTGCTAAGGCTTTGAGCAACCCAGGCGGCGGAATGAATCAGATTCCAAATTGTAGATGAGGAATTTACAAAAATGGCCAATTTCATAAACGGTTTAATTTTGATAACTCTAAAAATGGCCAAATTTGATACCAAATTGTCTATTATACCCCTGTGAAAAATGAAGCAATTTTTTTTTTAAAAAATTTGTCACGAATTTCGAGAAATCTACGTTAATGCTAACTAATACCCAATAGGTTCATTTGCTTTTATTATCTGTTGGGTATTGACCCATAGTTTTGGGAAAAAATGAACAAGATGAAGTAGAAAAATCATTAATACTAAAAAATAATTATATGCTTCCAATTCATAAGAAAATCCAAAAATTTAATCTCATCCAAATTTGCAATTGATTAGGCTTTTCACAATTTTCGATAGAATGTAATTTTTTTTCCTCTTTTGCCCTACTCGAATGGGGATCACTACTCCCATAAGATAGCTATGATTGAAATCTTTTTTTATTGATAATTTGTGTTTAATAGTTGTTATTTTTGACATTTCATAACGTTCTCGATATTTTAAAAGCCGTTATCGATATTTGGACCCTGTTTATCTTTACATTTGACACTTCATTTGTTTAGGACGAGATTTCGTTTTCAACATGAGAGTTCTCTACATTTTATAATGTTCTTGATATTTTAAATATACTCCTCGACATTTCATAAATGCTTTATTTACTCACTTATAGAAAGAAGTGAACATTTAATGATTGTTTAGGACGAGATTTCGTTTTCAACATGAGAGTTCTCTACATTTTATAATGTTCTTGATATTTTAAATATACTCCTCGACATTTCATAAATGCTTTATTTACTCAATTATAGAAAGAAGTGAACATTTAATGTATAATTGACATAATACTTTTTAAAATAAGCAGTATAAATTATGTATCAAGTTATTATTGGTCAATAAAATTTTTAATTATATAAATAATTTAGTCTTCGTCGTGGAATTTAAAATTGTTAATGAGTACATTTTGGTCTATATTATAATAAAATGGACATTGAAGAAATTTTGGAGATTTTTGCAAATGAATGTAAAAGTAGATATTTTTTGCAATTTCCTCTCCGTAGATTCGTGCGCTGCAGCGGGGACTGTGAATATTCGTGTTGCCGTACTGAACTACTACTGAAAATTTGAAATATAACTTATTTACTCAATATGCAAATTTTAAGTAATTTTTGTTGTAAAATGATAGTCCACCCATGCATGTAAATAAATAAATAATAAACAGCTTTACATACAAGCATGCGATCAGTCTTTTAAGTTACGAGTCTTATCATTCTCATTGCAATGGACAATAACTATGCTTGAGCAAGTTTCTCGAGTGAACAAGAAGCATGTTATGCTTGGTACTTGCCCATTATAGCAATTCTCGTTTGCCCACATTGAGCAGGGCTCTACCCTCTCAAAAATACGGGGCAAGTCCCACTGGCTTGCACATATCATGGCGTACAATTCTCTGGTTCTGTGTGAAGCTAACTACAGAATGCGGTAGCTCCTAGTTGAGTCTCCAAGGAAGTTGGTTGCATGCTACAAATTATCTGTTCCATGTTTTAAGCCTTGAATCGCCTGAACTCGAACCAGATCTCATAATGGTTGAAGAGCAAACTGTCGTGTGTGTGCTTTCCAAGATACTCGAGCCCTAGATGATTCAGCCTTTTTGTGCATTCGTCTCCTCCCAACCTAGAACAGAACTTTATATTATGTGAAACAAAAATCCGACCTTCTAAAGGTTTCAGTCTGCCTGCTAACTTCTCTAATCCAATCCAAACAAGATTGTCAGGCATATGAAGAAACACAGCACTTGCATATATCAAACTGTACATGGTTCCATCTCCAAATTTACTGAAATTCATATCTTCACCTTTGACAATCAGAGGGCGCTTGTACAACAAGCCTTGCGATGGCAGCTCATACCTAAGTGCAGCCATCAGAGATAGCTCATCTCTCTCTAAACAATGGAAATGCTCTGGGTTCAAGTATCTAATGAAATGCAAGCCGACACGCAGAGTGCCACATCCAATCTCAAGAACTTTTGAGTTTGGCATTAAATGGGCAGAATCTGCAAGAAACTCAAACACATCTCGTCCTCCTGCCCAGGGCTCCCCGTAATTGCTATGGTGTTCTTCTACAAGAAGTTCACCTGGACAAGGCAGAGCAGTGTGATTGTTTGTTTCTTCTCCTTCATAGTGTGATATGCCTTTGAACCTGAAAATACAGTAAAACTTGTTCATGTCTCCTCTAGTACAGCAGTGAGCACTAACAATAACATTAGAAAAAATTGGAAACCAATTAAAGTTGCAGTAATTTTCTGTAAACGGGCTTATATCTCAAAGGATTATGGTAGAAATTGAAACCGCATAGCAGATCATGGTCCTTGGACCCCATTTGATAGAATTATACCAACCACATAAAAGCATGGCTATGATGCCGTATACCCAGAAAAGGATTTTTAAGTTATACCAATATTGTTTAGGAGTGGAGTAGGATCAGATGATGTCAATTAAAATTTGTTTCATTCATTTTAAAGAATTTTATGTAATTTACACAGATGTTCAATCATACTTCAATACATGTGAGCACATAAAACTAGTCAAGAAATAAATAAGCACTTCACCGTCCAAAACACTCTCTCTTCAATGTCAGTTATGGTATGATGAAAGAGATAACATTGTGAAGTCCATAATTACACCAATACAGTAAACTATTGACATTCGATTTCTGTTTTTAATTCAAATATTTTAATTAATACCTAAGCATATGGTCACCAGTAGAACTTCCACCCATACCCCACACCAATTTTTTTTTTTTTTTGAAGTGAAGATGACCACAGACCTATTCGATACTCCTGGCACATCACAAGTTTGCTGAGATGCCTTGAACTTGATCCAGTTGTATAAACTCACGCCCTTGTTTTCTTCTTCCTTGTGTGTATTAAAAACTTCTCATAAATTGGACGGTGTTCAAGGAATATCATCAAAACAGGATGCTTAATTCCATAATGCTCGATGATTTTACATTAACACAATCACATTGTAGGGTTTGCCAGATGGATCACTCAAGTGCTGGAAGAGTATCTTTTACACAGAAAATGAGCAGAGATAAAGACCAGAAATTCATTTATTAATTTGGCATCTCAAATGCAGGATCTTATTTTAATGCAACTGATTTTGTTGACATTGAATTAAAGAATAGGTAATTTCCGGAGGTCCATCAAATAGCTAAATCCTCACACACAAGATGAAACGGAGACAAAGAACAATAAACACTACTAGAAAATTTTCTTCCAAAATTTTCCTAAATTGGCTTCTTCTGTTCTATTTCTTTATTTATTCGTCTTCCATAGTTCTCTCTGGTTAGTTCCAATATACCGATAGTCTATAACTATGTTAATTTTCATCATCATAGTATGTGTTTGTGTTAGTGAGCGAGGGTCAGGGGATTGTCTTACTGAAGGAGATCTTGGAGCTGCTGTCGTCGAGTGCGAGGATTAATGCCTTTACGCAGCACATTCTGTTGCATATGCAATCCATTGGCTTCAATCTGACTCTTCACCCATTCTACATCCTCTGCTGAAGCCGAGATCTGATCTCCAAATCTTACATTCCTACTGTCGGCGGCGGAGCTACGGGTACTGGTGGAGTCTGAGGTGGGAATAGGGCAAGTGCACGGCGGAGGGGATGAAGATAGGGCAGAGAGGAGGAAGAAGAGGAAAATCGTGGCGGCGGCAACAGATAGTACGAGGACTGGGACTGAAATCACCACTCCCTTCGATGG